TGTGGTGTTTAGTCTCATTTATAAACGTGTGCTGTTATTGGTATTGCTGAATTGTGTGGAATTCATCGACTAAATGGATATAAACAAAATACAATTCTTCAGAACATTTGGAAATAAGCAGCCATATGCTGTAAGTTTGGAGTCAAACAATGAATTACTGAAGATTTGAAATGTGCCCATTGTCCCTAAAAACCTTCTATCCTGTGTTCAGCAGGCTTACAGTAATGGGAGCTGATTCTAGATATTCTTCTTCAATATGTCCTCTGCTTCATCTTTCTCAGAGCCTGGCTCCCTCGAGGGCCACACTTCCTGCTCTGCTAGTGTCACAGTTCTTGTCTGATAAACAGTCAAAGCCACATTGCAGAAACTTCATCTGCTTTCCTGTCTGCCTTGCTGGCTACATATACAGCGAGTGGGCGTATTTCCATAGCAACATTAGCATAGCATCCATGAGAACTGCAGGGCAATAAAAAGAAACGTACCTTGTCAGAGAGAGCTCAGTGATTTTCCACAATGGAACATCCTAGTAGTGGTGCAAATGAATAGTTTTGCTGTCCAACATAAAAGGAGCATTCCCTGCTCTCTGCTTTGAGTGTAGCAACAATAGGCTCAATAGGCTTGTGGCATGAGAGCTATTTGATGTGAGCGGTGGGTGTGTTCCATGTAACCTGTACTGTAGGATGGCACAATAAAGAGATAACAATAGTCAGACCTCTTTCAGGCCAACATGTTAGACACTCCCCACGCATGTGTAAACGTCACAACTGTAAACTTGCTCTTCTTGTTTAGCTGAAAGGTTATTTACAAATGATCTATCTCTCTTTGAGTTGCTCATCAATGCTCTGAAGGACACTGTCTTGCTCTTTGGCCAGAGGGGAAGCATCCACATCAAAAGGCCACATCTATCCTCTGCTTTACCTCCAACGTGCTCCAGATGAGCCATTTACAAAAGGCATTCCTTGGAGCCCGTGAGTTGGCCTGTGATGCTTGTCAAGTATGCAGCCTGTTTCCTGGACGTTATTGAACTAAACAAATGTAGCCAGAGGAAAAAGATGATTGGCCGTTACCTTACTTCACCATATACAGTTTTCTTTCTCCACTGGCCTTAGATGGCATTTAGAAGAAAGCTGAGGGAAGGATCCTGGCAAGGCTGCAGAGGCTGGGAGCCATCTGTGCCTTTGCGATGCAAAAGTGTTGAGTTGAATTATGCACAATAGCTGCATGAACAGAGTACTGAGCAGCCTCACTTTCTGTCACATAGGGCTGCTTTTATTTATTCAACCGACTGAATGCAGTGCTCATCCCTGCTCCCATCGGTCCATCTCCTCAATGAAAGCCTCCTGCAGTAAAGGATGTGCCACTCCAGCTGCCGACTACACCTCGCCTCTCGAGGACAGATAACAGCTCTCTTCTAGGATCATACACTGTACTTTATTCACTGCATGTCCCTGAATGATTAAGAGTGTAAAAGAGAAATGTGGTTTTACCATATTAGTATAAGATCCTCATAATGAAGAGGATGAGAGCTAATTCTGTTACAAACAAGAGGGTCAACATATAGAGATATAACATATCAATTAAAGGGTAACATGGAGACAAAAAGAGAGTGCTAACCTCAGAGCACAAAACTAACATTTAAGCTACTGTGTATGCATCCATTGCCTTAGCTGTTGAGATGTCACTCCGTTATTCCCACTCCTTTCAAAAAATAAAAAGTTCATTTTCGAGAAGACAACTTGCAAAATGGTCACATAGTGGATCCCTTTATGAACCAGGACACTGCACTCGATAAGCTGCCCAGGCTCCACAAACTGCTCTGCTCTGACAGCATGACAGTTCACTATCTAGTCATGAGCTTGTTTAGAGATAAAGATATCTCTAACTCAAACCACATTTGTGCAACAGAAAAGCTGCCGCTAGTCAATACTAAAGATGAGATATCACAGTAAGTACAAATGATGCTATTTGCAGAATATGTTGGACGTGTATGACCTTCTCACTCACAACATTTAAAAAACCAACAACTGGACACATACTTTATGTTCGTTCAACTCCACTAGTAATAATCTGGTATTGCTGAGCAGAAATCAAGGGGGTCATACTCTTTAAATAAATAAACTCAAGGGTAGTTTGTCCACATAAAGTCACAAGTCGTAAGCACTGTTATTGTTGGGGATTTGTAACAATGTGTGCACTCCATCCTGTGAGCGTGAGAACCAGATCATTGAGTTTACATCCAGCAGGCTTTTCATACATTTAGATTGTCATAGTAGGGAAGGAACAGGTGTTTTCTACGATTAACACTAAGCTCTATTCCATTCATGGGTTCATTGAAGGTTACAGTGAGCAAGCATGCATACCAGGAACCTGAGATGAAAGATGGAATTCAGCTACCATTTATTTCATTATATCTGCCTGTGATTTCCCAACTGTGTCAAGTTCAAATGTCTTGTATTAAAAGGGTATTTTGATCATACTTGATGTCCTCATTATGGTGTATCTTTCAGTACAGAGTAATTGTGCAGTGACTTAAGCATTTGAGCATCTGAATGACAGTGTAGAGGACTCCATCACTGCAATCTGCCTTTCACACATCTTACCACAGCTGGACAAGGTCACTCTAAACGTTGTTACCCCACCCCCACCCTGACTCATTTCATATTACAGTTACAGCAAGTGGATGAAAGACACCAGTACTGCTGCAAATGTTCTACTCACAGTCTCAAGGCATCACAAGTGAATCCAGGACAGCAGCACGGGTAGAAGATCATCCCGAGTGTGTGGGAGAGCAATGAGAAGTGATCTTGCATTTCCTCTAGAGAGTCACACATTTCTATATTTCATTCTTCCCATTGAGCAATCAAGGAGATCACCAGGTTGTTTTCCCCCCAACAAAACAAGCAATACCACCGCTGTACCACTGGACATGGATGCTCCCCACATAACCTTGGCTATAAATAGCAAGCCAATGACAGAAGCCTGAACTGGGAATGAGAACAGCTATAGATAAATAACAAGGAGATCCACTGCTTCAGCTCTACAAGGACAGAGCAAGTATGATTACAAAAGAGAAGGTTCTGCCGATGACAAACATCAAGTCATGAAATCAACAAATTCAAACTGACGGATAGCAAATGTGAAGCTTTTATTCACTTTCCTCAGTGTCTGGCCTAATTACAAGACCAGTCACCCCTGGTCTGTTTTGGATCTGGCAGATTTCAAACCTTTCCCTTTCTTGGATGGTTAACCGTGAGAAAAACAAAGAGTATCATTTTCTACAAACAACATTCACTGCCCCATAAATGACTGGTGCACTGCTCATTTTTAACTCTCCATTCGAATGGCGTAATCAAAGGGAACAGAAGAAAGTGAAATCTGTCATTTGTTGCCCATTTGGTTTGTCCCTAGGCCTCATGCCAATTCCACTGCAAGGCTGCTCTCTTCTATAAACACAAGACTAAAACGTAAGCCCTGCAATTAGGACGTTTTACTTTCCCTTAGGTCATTATAGAAATGTCCGATTAAGCTGCACACAATACATAAAAGTCCATGGCCTAAATACATCATTATATGTTCATTTGTTCATTTATTCAGATGTGTCTGAAACACCTTAGTAATGTGGGTTTCAACAATAAGTGTTAGGTGAGAATTTAACACAGGAGCTTAGTCAGGAAAGTTTGCTTTAATTAAGCATTTAAGGACCTATTAAACACAAAACAACCACCTTTCAAAAATAACTACATTAAAGACAAGAAGGCCTTGTTTGACTCCTTCACATGGTCCTGGTGTAATGAGGAACAAATGGCTGATCATGTGAAGAAAAACAGCTTGCTTCCAAATGCAACTTTCCATTGGCAGCACATGTGAACTGTACATACAATGACAGGAAGAGCTTAGCAGTACAGCTAAATTGGGAATTGAATTTGCGTGTTTATTTGGGGAATTTAAGTATAATAACCTCTATGAGAAGCTGGTGAAGCACAGTGTATACCACATCAAGTTCTAAGAAGAACATCTTCATTGATTACAAATGTTTGTCATTTAATTTTAAAAGTCAATATATTAATTGTTAATTTTTTGTGTGTTCAGGTCCACATCTTATAGGCACTCGAATCTGAGGGTACTTTTTACTATTAAAAACTCACACATGGTGGATATGCCATAAGTTTGTTCATATATTGTTGGACCTATATGTACAATTAATAATTGTTTGGCTTACAAAATAATAAATAAATAAAAGACGACCCTTTAAAATAGCACTAATCCTGGCTGTGTGGACAAGGCTTTGACGCAGCATGTATACTTTAATGATGGGAATTAAGGTTAGAAGAAGATAACATAACCACATACTATCGTATTAGGTTAAGTTTCTGGATGTTCTGGTGACTGACAGGTTCACAACATTACACTAGTACCAGACATCCCTTAGCAACGAAAATATTAAAACTGTTGAATGTTATAACAAAGGTAGAAACTGAATTGAGCTTATGAGAAGGGATATTTTTGATTGAGGCAGATTGAGTGTATTGATCGAGCGAGAATCCTGTTGAACTCAGGACTTGGTATGGAGCAAACTGAACAATTCAGGACGAGGTAAAACGACGTCTTGTAGGCGCCCGCGTAATTCTAAATATGTGCCTAACATGTCAAACAGTGATACGTTTAATTAGCATGCAAACAACCTGTCCTTTGGCTAATTTTATGGCAGACGTTGTCATAGATAGACACGTCCGCTTCAGAAAGACTGAGTCATTAAATTAAAGGAACATAGCCGTCCTGTGACAGTAAGTGCTGCTAACAGTCAAGCTGTCATCAAAGTCATTTTGTTTTTTATCTCAACTGACCAAAGACACCGAGCGACTCAGTGACATCTTCGGTAATGTCGCACGTCAGAAGCGTTAACGGTAAAGTTTACACATGTTCACTCAACAAAATGGTAAAAACAGGAATAAATGCAGTAGACTGTCATAAATGAAAGAGCATTAGCAACTAGCTCTCACCTGGGCTGTGTTGCGGAGGAGCTGCTGCTGTTGTTTGATCAGGATGCTGCTGCCGCCGCCGCCTCGCGCACGGGAGTCATTATAGAGTGTCACCACCGGCCAGCGCTCGAGGAGCCGGTAGGTGGAGCGCGTGAAGCGAGTTTGGCGCAGTGCTCGCGGAGATTTCTGGGAAGTGTAGTCTTGCTCTTGATTAAGTCTTTCGGTTTAAATCACATTTTCTTTCTTTATTTAAAGAATTTCTTTATATTAATAATATTACAAACCAAAAAGTATTCCTTGGGATTGTTCATGAAAACTCCAATAAAAAGTGTTCTATTGAGAGAGTCCAGTATCTTCGGCTAAAGCCAGTCATGTTTATAATATGTATACTAATGAATATTTCATGAGTACAACACCTCTCTGACACAATATACATTACTTTAGGGACAATATACATTTATATTATAATATTTACAGACTCATAAAACCGTAGGCTATGGACCAATGTCTTAAACACATGCATAGGCATGTTGACTTTGTGTCGAATGTGCTAGTCGTTTGTCATGAGAAAAACAGCTAGAACGTTACAAATGAAATGTATAATTTTTGGTCATTAAGTGAAAACTATATGCTTAAAATGTATTCTAACTCTTTCTGTTTTCAGACGTCACGCATTACATTTGTAACGAATCTGCCTCCGCTCACCCTTGACTACATTTACGTACAGCGGCACTGTCATTGAAAACATGGCTGCCTCCATGGGTGAAGCAGGAGCCGCTGCCTCTGACTTACAAGGTCCAGCTTCGGCTGCTCCGGGCATGGAGAGCCCGCCGATCCAGTACAGCCTGATCCTGGAGCACCTCATCGGGGACAAGAGGGCCGTGAAGGAGCTGAGCCCCGGCATCATGGGGGGGCTGCCGATGCCTATGAAAAGCGACGAGCAGAAGATGATCGAGAGGGGAATGGAGAGCTGCGCCTTCAAGGCTGTCCTGGCCTGTGTTGGAGGTAAGCAAAGACACCACGTTAACATTAGGATAACTGGTCAGTATGTGTGGGTAGTACTCTGACAGACACAGTTTAAAAATACTCAGTTACAAGTCCTGTATTCAAAATCTATAAAGGTATTTGCATCAACATTTATCTAAAGTACCTACGGTAAAAGTGCTTATTATGTAGTGTCTCCCAATTTCAGAGTCATGTAGGCTATATTGAATTATTGTTTTATTGATGTGTCGTTATGTATGTATCGTTTCAATGTTGTAGCTGGAGAAGGGGGATATTATTACTACTGGGTTGCTTAACATAATAATAATATCACTATTTATTAGTTGAGTTATATTTTGTATTACAGACACAAAACTAAGTTGTTATGTGTCTGCTTTTCAGTTATTTTTAAATGTTTGTTTGCATAAAAATGACAATACCTAATGCATTCAATGAAGTTACAGTGCAGGAGAAGAAGGGAGCCTAAAACGCTTTTTCAGAGTCATCCATTACAAATACAAAATGCATCACCAAGTGTGTCTAGATACATAAAACACTGAAAAGCATAAACAGTAGTGAAATAAAAAGAGGGAAAACTCAACCTCAGAAAAACACAGTTGATATGTAGGCCTGCAACATGAAGACATTTTAAGGTTTTGTAGTGTAAATCTAGTAATACAAATAAAGCAGTTAAAAGCTTTGGAAATTGTGATAGTTTAGTATTTTACAGATGAAAGATGAATACATAATAGAAAATAATTGTCAATGTAAGGCCTATTATATATATACATTACACATCCATGATCCGTAATATTCCTCGGATTGGTAGAAGTATGCATCTGTAAATATTGTTGTGATTTATTGTGCAGCAGACACTGATTTAGTTTTTTACCTTCCCACAGGTTTTGTCCTCGGAGGAGCTTTTGGTGTTTTTACTGCTGGCATCGATACCAATGTTGGCTTTGACCCCAAAGACCCTCTGAGAACTCCATCAGCACGAGAAGTCCTCAAAGACATGGGACAGAGAGGGATGTCGTACGCAAAGAACTTTGCCGTTATTGGCGCCATGTTCTCCTGCACAGAGTGCGTCATAGAATCAGTAAGTCTCACACCTGGGGGGGGTTTGTGTGTTTATCATCATCCTCTGCCTCTTTATGAATGTGTATGAATAGGTGAATGCTGGCATGGGATGTTAAAGCACTTTGCAAAGATTAGAAAAGCGCTACATAAACGCAGCAGTGTTTCCCACTTAAATATACTTGGGGGGGTGGTGGTAGCGGGGTGGGGGTTGAGGTGACGTGCAACAACATTAACCTTTCTGTTGGTCGCTTGTTACAGACCCTTCACGTGATGGCAGAGCGAACAGGTACAGGCAGGGCCCATAATGATAGCCCTATAGTTTAAATCTACTGCCCACACATGAACATATGGAAATGGGTTACTATTTAAAAAAATACATGTATTTATAAATGTATTTAGGAACCTATCCATGTGATTTTTAGTGGGGGTCGACCTCAAATCCTCTAGGGGGGGTCCAGGGGCATGCCCCCCCGGTAAGATTTTATTTTTTATTTTGGAGTTAAATGCATCAATCTGGTGCATTTTGAGGGGAAAATAAAGAGACTAGATCTATGGAAACACCTATATTAAACAGAACTGTATACATTTCAATAATCATAAAATCATGGCCATAACCAATAACATACCATTTCCAATATGAAAAAAACACTGAAACTTGTTTATTAATTTATTTTTGGTTCATTTATAGTTGTGAGTGTGTCTGTGCTCCTGAATCAGCCTCTCCTGTCTCCCTCCTCTCCTTCCTCTCCCTCCTCTCCCTCCTCTCCATCCTCTCCCCCCTGCTCCTCTTTGAGGCAGCAGCAAAGACTAGTTTTCTCTCAACAAGTTTTAAAAGTGTATCTTACCTTTTTTCACCTAGTTAACTTTTTATTTATTTATTCATGCATATTTTACTAATCACATTACATTTCATTTAGCTGACGCTTTTATCCAAAGCAACTTATAATGACCGATTACAGGGACATTCTCCCTGGAGTAACTAAGGGCTAAGTGCCTTACTCAAGGGCACACTAGTGGTGGTGTTCCTGGCGGGATTTGAACTCACAGCCTTCCGATCTTCAGCCCACCTCACTATCCATTAGACCAATACCCTCTCAAATGGAAATATGTGTTTACATAAATGGTGACCACACCGTTTGAGACCCACTGAGAACTTAGACTAAGTTAACTATCTAAACACTCAGAGTCCTTTACCTCACCTGAGCTGAGGTTATCCCGAGCTTGAATGACACACAGAGACCAATCAAGGGCTTTGATTTATGATCTGTATGACAGTGGCCATGTCGGCAGGCCACATCATGTGGACAGCCAGTCACCCTGTGTGAGGTATATTAACGGCCGCCCAAGTATAGTCTATGTGTGGGAAACCCTGCGGCATGCAGTTAGCATTATGTGTGACTGTGACCAATGATGGTGGGATGACATTGACTGTAACGGAGCGTCCACACAGCAGCGTGCGTTGACGCTTGGCGGTGGGCGTGTCTGAAGCTTGGGGATTTTTTGCGACCAACAACCAATCACATGAATCTCCCGCCCCCGACATACAAAGCAATAGCAATGTTAAAACGAAGTAAACTGGATATAAAATCCCCAAACAGGCGAAAACCTACCAGTTTCACCCACTGTCTCTGCCACCTCCCTCCATGCCTCGCTCCTCCGGTTTGTATCCCGGTAGATGAACAGAGACTGATCATACAGCACCGGGTGATTCCCTACCGCTATAATGAATTTTCCCTCCATTTTTTGGAATATGAGGAAATGACCTGCGTAGTCTCTCCCAGCATACACGCGGTGATTGGCTAGCGCTTGGTACTGGCAGATTTGCATAAACGGGATTTCATTGGCTGACGCTTCTGCCGAGGCGCCAACAGTTGAACATTGCTCAACTTTTGAAGCGAGCAACGCCAGCAACGCTCCACGTCGCTTCCCAAAATGCAGTTCTGCTAAAAGTGACGTCACCCCATTCAAAGTGAATGGGCAGAAGCGTTGGAAGCTTCAACGCACGCCGCTGTGTGGACGGGCTGTAAAGGAAATGCCTTTACCAAATTGTTATTGAATAATGTGAAATGTTTGAGATGTTTTCGTGTGTTCATGGTTGTTTCTTTTCTTTTTAACCTCCCTTAAAATGGTCTGACAGCGCCCTCTAGTGCAAAACTGTTTTGTTTTTTTGATTTCCCAATTTAAAGTGTGCAAAATAAACCAAACAGCCCTGATCCATTCATGACAGTTCAGATATAGCACCATGCTAACCGGTTCCTCCTCTCTTCTTTTCATCTGCAGCACAGAGGCGTTTCTGACTGGAAGAACGCAGTGTACAGCGGCTGTGTAACTGGAGGAGCCATTGGGTTCCGTGGTATGTGACCTGCTACATTTACATTGATGTTTTTCATTAAAGGCAGTATGTTTCTTATGTCCTCACATGTATTTTTGTTCCTGTTTTTAGCGGGTCTGAAGGCGGGGGTGCTGGGATGCGGAGGCTTCGCTGCATTCTCTGCTGCCATCGAATATTATTTACGGTGAACCACTCAAGAGTGTATGGACTTAAATGATGTGCCCTGAAAGAAATCCAACTGGTGAATATTTACCCTCACATGGAGGACTGCTGAGAAAGCAGAAGTGATGATTTGGGGAAGTGAGGGTTCCTGTGCACAATGTGCTGAAACACCTCTTTGTTTCCAGAGAAGCTTCAGTTTCACCTCGTGGACAGAGACCTCGTGGATCTGCTTCTCTGGGGACGGTATAATGAAAATGCTGAACATAATTCCTCTTTACTCTGATTCAGTGTTTACTGTGTAACTAACCCAGATCCAGATAATTTATATTAAACATGTTTTTTTGTTAATTTGATTAGACCTTTTTTCTTGAAGTTTAAAAGTGTCCACGACTAAATACGTCTTAAATTGGCTTTTAATTATAGTCTTGATTCAAGTTTGAATTTATATAATATATATTTATAATAATTCTGTGATGTACAGGAGTTGATGAAGGAAATAGTTTTGGGTTTCCCACTCGGACCCAATAGAGCCTGTAGTGAGCTTCTTATGAATCTGGTGCAGATGTTTTCATAAGTTATCAGTACAACAAAGAGAAAATCACATCTTTAGTTTGTTGGATAATGGGATTTCTTGTGAAAATGTCAGGCTGGTCACAGTGTAACGTTTTGCTTTTTGAGAATACTTTAATTTCATGTAAATGTAATAGTGCAGACTATTGTGTAACAGCTGAGTGCAGCTATAAACAGGTTACATATTTAAAAGGCTTCAAGGTTTGAAGCTCCGCATCCTGACCCTCTAAATTATACACATTCAAAATGAATACAGCCCGTTTATTCAAACATCTAAAGACTTTAGAAGCAAATCATACGCTTGTTCTCTGGAAAATCCAAATACACTGATGTCGGCAGGATAATTACCAGCAGGTCACACAGAATGCATCATGTTAGCAGACAGACTACACAATGCATTTACAGCTGAGGCAGCATTAAGAGCAATGTACAACAGCTTTATCAATTCAATTTAAAACTAAACGATTGTAATTGTCCAGTACAAAATGTATTTGGGTTGCTGTATAATACATGTGTGTGCTTCATTCAATCAAATCAATCACACTTTATCTGTATAGTCAGTGATAGTGCTCTGAAAAAATCACAGGGCACTGGAAGAGAGATCCAGATCCCTGAGGACAGTCGTAAAACAAATATTGTATGGTATGTATACAATGTATAATGGTGGTAGTATAAAATGGTCTGATTAATTTTTTTACAAATAGTACTCAGAATAAGTCAGATATAGAGCTCTGTGATTTTTCTCAGAGAACTCTAAGAGAGATCCAGATCCCAGAGGAACCTGCAGAGAGTTCTGAAATTCAGGAATGGCATCCATGAGTCTCGCCGCGAGCTTCGATCCAGGCAGTGGACTCTGAAGATTCCCCCTGAGGCAGAGGAAGATCCACAACCTGTGATTAACTGCTTCAGAACTCTCCACTCGGCCCGGAAACGACAAATGATATTAAATTGATTTATAAATCACATCTATAAATGATCAATATCCTGGTTTTTATTCTTATTAATTTTTCAAGTTATGAAACAAATATTCCATGGTATGTTATAAAAATGTATTAAAATATCTTGCTGGTACTAAGGAACAGGGAAGGAACCACAGGGTTCACTGCGAGCTTGGATCCATCGATGGACTCAGAGGATTCCCCCCCATGGCAGGTTTAGGTCAGCAACCTTGGTCTGAGATTGACTGGGCTTCAGAGCTCTGCACTGCTCCTCATGGGAGCTCACAGGGGCCGGAAACACTTGCACAAAATACCAATGCAACCCTAAAACCAAAAACGTATCCTCATCCCTCTATAACCAATGAAAGAAGCTGAAGGACTGTTGGGTCTACCCTTTAAGTCAGACAAGAAATGAAGAAGATTGGTTGGTAAATGCTCTCATTAAAATCTAAAATGCTGCAAGGAAAACAAGCAGATTTTGTGGGAAATATACCACCACTGATTTGCAGGTCAGCCCTTAATATTTTAACAAATCAGAGGGTTAACTGCACAGATGTAAAGCCTCACTTCCACTGGGGGTTACTTTAAACAGTTTGTAAATTGACCACCAGGTGGTGCAATCACTTTACATTTCCAAACGTGGATTGATATTTCAATAGGGGAAGAACTGTTGACGTTTGGCAGAATGTGATGAATGATTATTAATAGTTAATATGGGGGAAAAAATAGTAATATATCCTGTAAAAGGTGCTTCAAAAGGCTCAACATTCTATAGATTATAATTTAGGTGATAGTGTATTTGCGATGTTTTATTATTGTTACTCAATTGAATAAGCAATATCAAACAGTGCGTAAGTGATGATGACATTGTTTCCACAGACAGTATTGACAGAGACGGACACAAAGAGAGTGTTTTGGTAACTTTTATTTTACTAAAAAAAAATGGGGGGAAAAGTTCACAGACATTTAATCCTCAAAATTACAGTATATTGAAATTCTTCTCAAAGGAAGTAAAATACAACATTTTTTATTTTTATTTTCATCTTATATTAAAAATATCAAATAGTACTCATCTAGCAGTGCTTACAGTATTTTAAGATATGTCGCAGGCTTGATAGCAGAAAGGTGGGCTTTGTACAGAGCAGAGATGGGATCAGCCAGTCTCAGCGGGCCGCGCAGAGACAACCTACCTTTCTGTTACCCCGGCTGGTTTGATTGACAAGCTGAACATGCAATGAGGGCAACTACACAAATCAACTCTATAGATTATACCGGTGCAGTAAGACACTTGGAACAGGCTTGCAATGAAACAATGAGAGAAATAAAAAGAATGTTCCATTTGTTGTGTTTTACCCCCAACAACCCTCATGTCCCAGAGTGCCCTTCCTTTACGAAGTGATCTGAAATTAACTGGCAGACTTTATGTCCATCTTTTCAGTACAGCTTACCAACCATGGACATAGTGAATGAGAAGCTAAAAATAACATCACTACCTGAATAAACTTCAAAAAACAGACTCCTTTGAGCATTTCTCTAGTTGCACAGAACTGTACAGGCACACATATTATATATATTTAAAATAAATAGGGCTAATTTGGCCGAGACTCACCGGGGAGGGCAGCTCTCTCTCGTCCTGTCAGAACGGGGAGACGCATCACCAGCCATGTATTAGGACGGCTTCCCAGCCACTTCTAAACCTCACAAGTTCTCATAGTCCCTTTAAACACACACTCACTCACTCAAGTGCATCCACGTCGTCACTCACACCCCCGGTCTCCTCCACCACATGCATTAGGCCAGAAAGACAGAAAAAAGGAAAGAAAACATAATTATCACACATGAAAATGCCATTTTTTCTGGCATGCCTCTGATCAAGGAATAAGAAGCTGGAGTCGTCTGGAAAGTACTCGCTAGATGACACCACGTGACCCTGACCCCCTCTAGATTTCCCTGATGAGTTCCCAGAATGCCTTGCGGTCCTGGGAGCGGGAGGCGCTGGGGGCTTTACTCTCCTTAGTTTACAAACGTGACGAATAGATGACCGGGAAGTCTCCGTCACCGCCTCCATATTGACAGGCTTCATCTCTTTTCAGGACTGGGGGAGAAGGTGGTGGGTTCAGGGAGGGATGTGTGTGTGTGTGTGTGTGGGTGAGGGGAAGGGGGGGGGGGCTGTACAGTCAAGATGAGCAGCCTGCTGGGAGGAGAGCTGAGGCAGGACCACCGGTCGGCGAGGACCAGGGTTTGTATGGAGTCTCTCTCTCTCTCCTCTCCGTATGGCGCCCTGAGGGAGGTGGTGATGGTGGGGGTGGTTTAAACGTCAGTGGAATAGTAGAGCGTGTTGCGCTTCAGTTCCGCGAAGGAGATGGGAGGATGCTGCAGGTAGTAGAGCAGCACCTGGACCTGAGGAAACAGAAAACCACTTATTGTTATTCATTCATAAACAGTCCATATTATCCTACTCGTCGGTCTTCTACTTCATCCTATGCTGTGTTCCAGACAACTCGGAATTGGGATTTTCCCAGTTGAAATAACCAACTTACTACTTCCAAGAGTTCCAGGTGCGCGACGCAAAATCATAAACAGAAATCATTGCTTATTGTGACAGACGAATACAGTTTATTTGGCACAGAAGCGGAACAGCCACCACATTTCTTTTGTTGCCATTTTTTAAGTTTTCCCAAATAACCTTTGTGAAGAGAAGATAACTTTCAGAGATTGTTAACTATAACCAGCTACCTTATAACATTAGTGACACATTTTGACTTGAATTTACATGCAGAAGAGGTTTTATTATATGATAATATTTCATATTTTAATAAAATATAGACACAACTTTTTTGTCAATGGTTTACCATATACAATGTGCACTTTGTTGCTTTGTGAGGTCAGACAACTGCTTCTCCATGAAGTCGTGCTCGATGGATCTCTCCTTAGTTTACTACGACTTTGGTTGACATTGTACTTTGAACACTGAGTTTGGACATTTTGAAGTTCAAAATGGTCTGGAACGCAGCATAGTGCAGGGCTTTTAAAGTCTTCAAGATATAAATCTAACTAATTTATTACATTCCTTTAATTGACGGTTTATGGAAGAGAACCCTAATCATTGAAGCATAGTTTTATCTCTAAGGTCCCTTTGATCCGATTCCTTATTACTTTTCTCCTAAAAAAATGATCCACATGAACTGAAGCACGCATGCATATATTTCCAGGCTTTTTAAAATTGTAATATAGAACGCAATACATAATGATTTAAAAGGCTTTTCCCTCTTTTGGTGAATTTGAAAGTTTATTATGTATTTTGTGTTAGACTGGTGGTAAGGACCATATACCGTTTGGTTCACATTTAAGTTTGTTTGTCTGCTTTGATGTTGGACTTCTGTCTAATTCAGCGTTTTTGTGAAAAGTCTTTTCCTCTGAAAACTGTAATTTACCTTCGGAAGTTGCTACTCATCTGCTGTTAATGTTTAACTCACATTTCCAGTCCAATGTTCCCCCTTGCAATGTCCCTTAATATTCCCCCCTTCACTGAAGCTCATCTACTCAATAGTAAGTGCCTGGTATGAGTGGAACAAATATCATTATTATTATTATGTTGAGTCAACATTTTGAGAATAATGTCCGATACCATTTTGAGAATATCGTTGAAATGTTGAGAATAAACATACTTTTTTACTAGCATTTTAACACATAGATTAGATTTTATTAACTTTGCGGCAAATTCATCATGTCCCCATTTTAGATTGTATTTTGGTGGCGGATGCATCTTTCCTTGGTGTTTTTGTTTAATTATGTGATAAACAGTCAGAATTCTAAAGAAGACCCCCGTACTAACAGTGAACGTCACAGTAATGGATGGGCGGGGCCTCCTGCATGCGCATGCTGCCCCATTTATGATGATTTACTCTGGAAGTTGTTTATTCTGCCAAGAAAATACATTTGTTTTGTCACAACGTTTTGGCAAAGATAAACATTTTCAGGTGCCGTTGTGTAGTTACCTGCGCCATCACGTCATGTGACCAGATGTCAGAGGCAGAGGTGATGTGCTGAGCCTTTGCGATCTCGGACTCTGAGGGCCTGAGCAGAGTGGGGCCAAACACCGTGGCCAGGTTGTGGAGGGACATCTTGTTGATGGGCTCCTTCTCCGCCACGCTGCAGAACAAACAGCAGCAGGCCCGTCAGTCAGGGAGGACAAACAGAGGGAACACAGCCAAAGGGTTCCACTGAACAAACTGAAACGTTGACTTTAAGTGTATTATCTCAACACATTTCAGATAACGATTGAAGTTTAACCTTACATTTTCTTTATTTAAACTTTCCACTAACCTAATAAATGTATGTGAAATCAATTGATATAATACATTTAGTTAACGTTTCAGATTTTTCAGTGCTTATTGAGAGAAACACACCACCTGTTTGAGGTGAATACAATACAAAAACTGTTCCCGCCGGTCTCGAACCGGGGACCTTTCGCGTGTTAGGCGAACGTGATAACCACTACACTACGGGAACTGACTGACAGCTACCTCCGCGCTGAGACGCGCGGCACAGATGTGACTCAGCACCCCCACTGACAAATATTGAAAGCATGTATTGAGCAACCCTCATTCAGGGGATGTTTTGACAAGAAATGTATATATGTTAAAGCATAGAAAAATGATTTGAATATTTGAATATGCTCTGTAGGACTTAAAGGAATATGTAACTCGGACCAAAGCAGTAAGTTCCACTCTATCTGACGGAGAGATTTTCTGTGTGTGTGTACCGTTTGAGGTGGTCCAGCAGGGGGAGGAAGGTCATGAGGTTGGGGTCCGGCAGGGAGCGCAGCAGGTGCATCATGCAGTTCTCCTTGGCTGCGGGGTCAGAGAGCGCTGCGGGGGGGGGGGGGGAGAAAGATGTCACATCCAGTTACAGCAAGACGGCTCTTTAAATTCAGCTCTTACAGTATCTATTGTAGCTGGGCAAATGTAACTCCCCACTGAAGACACAAACACACACTCCACCCCTCCCACCCTGGACACAAACTTTTTAAGACGCTCTCCTCTAACAGGAGGCTGAGGTCCATCAGGTCCAAAACCTCTCGTCTCATAAAACATTTCGTCTTGTCAGCTTCTCGGATATTTTCACACAAAAGTTTCTCTTCTGCTAGCTGGACTTATAACTTACAACTGAACTTTTCTTCACAATGCACATTTTTTATTTATATTTCATTTATTTTGCCATTCCTTGCACACTTAATGTTATTAATATCCTACTTTGACATTTTCGTTCTGTTTTATCTTCAATTTGAGATGTTTCTATGTTATGTTTGTTTATTTTCTAATCTTTTTATTTAGCAAATTAGGTGCGATTTTACCATGCTGATGTGACAAAAAAAAAATCGCAATTTGGTATCAATAATGTTTATCTTATTTAATCTTATCTCAATAATACCTTTCTTGAATGAAAACGTTATTCCTCTAACTGTGTTTATGTTATACACCTAATAAAACCTGATAGTGATTCAGGGTTAAAGGTCTCACCGATGCCCTCCATGAAGGCGGGGTAGAGGCGGTCGGTGAGCAGAGGCTCCGGCAGCTCCCTGAAGTACAGCTTAAGTGTTCCTGCGATGGCGTTGATGTCCATGTCGCTCAGCATCACCAGGATATCTTTGGTATCTGCAGGGCGGAAACAAACCAGGACTACGGTATGACAGACGGACAATAACACAGCTGCTCCTTTAGCAAGATCTGTCAATTATCCAAGATGCAGACAGAGACTTATAACGCACACAAATGAAAGATGTTACTCCAGCCGTGTGACCATTACTGAGAGTCAGTTCCCACAATTGTCAATTGCAATGAAACAACTGTGGGCTGCATCTAAAACTGTTTTATGTTCAACCACTGATTGACATTTTTTAACACTTTTTTGTAATTTTATAGACCATACTAATACTCAGTTCATGGAGAAAATGATGGACAACATTAGTTATACAGTAGCTCTTGAATGTTATGTTAGAATATGACAGGATAAATAAATAAATGCAGGTTAACAAGCTGTCAGCATAGACATCATCTTGACTGGAGAACGAATAGCTTTTCCTTGTGTTTACCACCAATATGGACCACTTAATTTGCTCCAAAATCTCATCAGTGAATCATTGTAATATGGCTCAGGATAAGAGTGTTCAACAGAGAGACAGGGAGAGGAGTCTTACTGGTGTCAAACACTAATTTGAGGGCCTGGATGTCAGTGGCCACCCCTGAGATCCTGTAGATTCCCACTTCGTCGATCCCCCTCTTTTCCACCTCTTCAATGCACTGCCGGACGATGTAAGGCACCTTGGAGCGCTCGCGCCTGTCCACGTGAAGAGCAAACAACAAAGTTATATTTTGTTATTTACAGTAACAGCCTATTTGGGTCAAATTAAAAAAATCGTACTTACTTTGTCACCACGTTGATTTTGACTCCAAACACCCCGCTCTGTTTTTTGGACGGCGTTCTCTTTAAGCTGAGGTCCCGACTTGTAAACTTCATGGAGAACTCCACTTTGATCTGAAGATGAACAACAACACAGTTGAAGTAAAGCGCATTTCTCTACGAAGCCAGACATTTTTCTTTTTCTTCTTTGTATGCATTGAGTCAGAGAGGTTATGACATTGAAATTGAATATCCAACATCTTTGAGCTAAACATCTAAACAACTTGATCTTATTGTAAACATTACAGCCAAACATAATTTCTCCCTGGAGTTTTGTTTATACAACCAACTCAATTTTTCTCTTTCCTAAAATCTGTACTTTTGAGGACACCAACACATATTTCTAAATCCCACGTTCTCTTCCTGCAGGTGCTTAAGCAGTGTTGAGGACAGACCATTGGAAAACACTGTGCAGTCAGAAAAACGTACATTGCATTTGCCAAACACAACATATCTCAATACAATATTTACAAGTATTTCATAATGTAAGATAGTGTTGTGTCTCACCCCGTTCATCTCTATGACGTCCATGTGCCAGTTCTTGGACTGCACTGTCTGAGGATCCAGCTGAAAGACACAACAGAGTCAGGAAGACATTAGGGAATAGTATGTGAATAAATAAGGTTTCATACAGAAATATTATCCCCATAGAGGAGACTGCCTAACAAAATCATCATATAATAATTGTCACGATTGGAAAAGTCACATTTCTACATGATAGAATTAAGAGAGCAGCAATATAGTACATGTACATTCACCACAAAGCAAACTTTTTCCTTCATTCATTTTGGTGAATAATTGTTCCAATACTTGTCATTTGAGCATTTTTTAAAAAGGGACAATATCAACCTGTTTCTGGTGAATACAAAACAAAAACTGTTCCCGCCCGGTCTCGAACCGGGGACCTTTCGCGTGTTAGGCGAACGTGATAACCACTACACTACGGGAACTGGCTGACAGCTACCCCCCGCTGAGACGTGCAGCCCAGACGTGACATGGCCCGCAGCCCAGACGTGACATGGCCCGCAGCCCAGACGTGACATGGCCCCCCCCCCCCCCCCCCACTGACAAATATATAAAGCATGTATTGAGCAACCCTCACTAAAGGAAAAGTGACCGTTTAAATATCGGAACAAGAAAGGCACCCGGCAAAGTCTAAAGGTGAGCAGGAGATATTTGAAACTGTTATTAAAACGCACTGTACTCAGTGCGTTCACCTTTACGCTACTCCATGTCTGAAACCTGATCAAAGTGAAGCTGTCGGTGTGGCCGGTGACAACAGCAGTCACTCAGTCTGCTTTGGGAAAGAACCACGCCACTTAAGTTCCCCACATATACCCTCTGCAGTCCCTCAGGGGTCCAACAAGGACTCTACATTGGCCCAATTCACCCGCACATTCCAAAGTCTGGATCTCACGTCCCATAATGCCTTCTGAGACATGATAGACGGCGGCTTGTTGTTGATTTAAGTCTCCTGGAGTGTGTGCTCGCTGCGGGAGGCCACAGCAGCTAATGTCTTTTTTATAGGCTGTTTGCTCTACACAGTTATGTCATTACAAACCATGCATAATAATGTGCTCAACTCAGAGGAACTAAAGATGGCTGGGTGAGAACGAGGGCAGCACACTTCTCTTATTGTTAGCATTAGGCTGCAACCATTACAAGTTCTTAGTGAGAGTATTTCATTACCTCGTAAAAAGGCCATTTGGCATCGGTTTCACGCATTCCAATTATCGTTAAAGCCTGTTTTCCCAGCAGGGCTTGGGTTTGAGACGAGGGACAGGTAATCACTGCTGTCTTTACACAGCCACTGCCAAGAAGAGAGGCGGGCAAAGAGCCAGGACTCACTGCTCACCCCTCCAAAACAAAAAACATTTCCTCCCACCTATTTCCTCCTAATGGTTACACTCATTGACCCCTCTCGAAAGTCTATCCTCAACTGGACCTTTTTCTATTAAAAAATACTTAGAGAGGAATTTGTTTTCCCCCTTTTGCTTTCCTAGTCAATTAGATGGTTTAACAGAACGACAGTTTGGCTGAAGAGTCCTCTACAAAACTCAAACTGAATTAGCTTATACTAAATATCAGAATAAGGAACAAAATATTGCATGACAAGAGACTGCTTTTTCGGTAAGGAATTGGGACTTATCGGGATTGTGTCCAGTTGGCTGGTTTAATCCAATAAAGTGGCAGGAGGTTTTAAGGTTTTGTCCTGAGTGACAGCTGAGCCAGAGAACTGGCAGGAAAACAACAGCAGGTATCAGAGCATGGAGTGCAGTAAAGGTAATGCACGCTAGAAAGGCTTCAAACTTTCAAGAACCCGCAAAAAGCAACCTGGTACAGCTTTAGGTCCCTTTCATCTCACTCCAAAAAGCTTGAAGGGGATTTTGAACATATGAGCAACTTCGATAAAGGTCAAAACATGTCTTGTGATTTTTTTTGGAGAAGTCCTATAGCTAGACTGGCTCAAAGCCCTCTTTGTAGTGCTGTGAAACTATCAGAGATATATGACTGTGAGTCTAGAACATACTGCAGCCCGGAGCAAATCACAGAAATACTTCAAGTTTAACAAACCGTTGTACACACGGATTTGTACGCATTCCAGTTAGTGTGCCAACTTAAAAGCTTTTTCCTCACATAAAATGAAAAATGTGTTTCCTTTGACTGATGAAGACGCACCTGGCGTCCAAACGTAAAATCCAAGTAATTCAGTTGGACTAAATGAGTGAAGTGGTGCAAAAAAGAAAATGTGTTTGAAAGACAGAGCAATTCACTCTGTTATATGGGCACTCTAAGCAGCTCACTCCGAAGGCATCAGCAGGCATGTGGCTGTCGGCTGATATGGACCTCCTTTACACCCCGGAGAGAATTTATATTATTATCTTTTTCTTTGTCTGGTTGTAATTTCTATCAGTCAAGCAGGACAGAATATATCACAACCAGAGTTTGAACTTCAATTGAAGCAGCACAGAGAGCCAGGAATTACATCAGCCTGCCCCCTGACAGATCTAGAGGGCAGAACAAAGCAGATAAGATAAGTAATGGCGCTCAGCTTCCACATGCTCTGTCTTTCTGAAAGACGAGCAGGAGAACAGGAAGTCACTTCAGCTCTCTTCATAATGATCTCTCATTTCATTTCAAACCTTTATTTATCCAGATAAATCCCATTGAGATCATTGAACTCCTTTACAAGGGAGACCTGCTCAAGTAGGTTCCACATGAAACATAAAAACATTAACAGAACAACAAAAGGACATCTTACATCATCATCACAGGGATTACAATTTACATAACTATCCACATGTACAGTAGGTACCAACAGCTTCCGATTGAGTAGCATCCAACCGAGCTTTAAAAACATTTAGTGGCACCAGATTGCTCAGTTTCCATTTCAGTTGCAGACTATTTCCAAAACAGTGGCGCTGCACATCTAAAAGCTGTCTTCCCTAAGACAGTCCTAGCAGTTGGCACATTTAATAAAACTAAAATCTATAGAGCGTCTATTGTTTGAAAGCGTTGGAGAAATTGGATAACTAAAGAAATCGAAGGCATGACTACGGTCACCCTGAATATGCCATGAAAAGAGATACATTAAAGAATATCTTTGGAAGGGTTAATGCCTTGCTTATTCTGATAAAGGTAATATGCTTGTCACAGATATGGTAACTAGTGATCAGTTTGGCTCTTTTATTAACCATTGAATCATTGCATACAAAAAGAATAACATTGTTTACTCACTGCCAATGACAACATTTGATTGGAAATGTATGAGAAACTTAACACATGGTTTATATAGATACAAAAATGATGTTCCCGCCCGGTCTCGAACCGGGGACCTTTCGCGTGTGAGGCGAACGTGATAACCACTACACTACGAGAACTGGCTGGCAGACCCTCCCTCCCCTCTCCGCACAAATAATCCTGACCTTTCAGCGGCATGTGACACATCATGACATGTCCTGCAGCCTGCCTGGGACTGACAGCAGCAACAGACTGACGCAGAGGGACCTAACCCTAACCCCCTCTGGAGCTGTTTACATTTCAACAAACACACAGGAGTCTTTGGAGACGTATGTTCAGCACATGCAGCTTTACAGCAACAGCATAACATACATATTCAGGGTCCTCATATGTCATAGAAGTCTATGTACAATATATCCAAGTGGCTATCTCAATCTGAACACCATGCATGCATAAGGTCTGACATTAACATGTCCGAACCTGGGGCACTCCGATTGTTATCAGAATACATTCTCTACTGACCGGAAACGCACACCTAACATATTCACAAAACATGTTTTCATTAACGTTGGGAATTCTGCTTGTTACAACTGGGAATGATTTGTCGGACTATACAGTAAACTTCCTACTATAAATCATGCATGTAAATGTCTTAATTTCGATGTGATCTTTTGCGAGTTCGATTTTTTTACAGAAACGGAGGATAGTAATGATACTCTCTTTATTTGTACACACACGTACATGTACACAGCAGAGCACACACATTTGACCCCTGCATTTAACCCATTCTATTACTAGGAGCAGTGGGCAGTGGGGGGGTCGGGTGCGTTGCTCAAGGGCACCACGGCAGTGCTCAGGGATGTGAACTGGGACCTCTCCAAGTACTCACTCCCTACTTTTGGGCTGATCAGGACTTGAACCGGCTATTCTCCCAAGGTTCCCAAGCCAAGTCCCTACAGACTGAGCTACCCCCGCCTTTGTTATTGTATGTTACTCAGATTTAATCAGGTTGTCTTTAGTGCCTGGTTTGCATTCTTGTTTGTCCTTCACACGTATTAATATGAATTCCTTTACAAACTTCTGCTAATTATGTAGATCCAACACAACAAACTAATATAAGTTGGTGTGTTCTGAAGCTATAAAGGCAATGGTGCCAAACAGTCAGTTAATGAAGTGGTGTTTAAAGCCTTTAATGAGAAAATCCCAACACACCTAATCAGCCTATTCTCGCTGTGCTCGAGAGCTAGTGCACGCTGGCAACAATAATCAAACACAACTTGATCTTTTGATTTCATTTGTCCTTTGTGTTTCATCGCAGTTTCCCATTGCCGCTCTCTGGCTGATTACATGTTCATTCAGCTGCAGAAAGCTCTTTGTTACTCCTTTCATTATAACATATCTCACACTGCACGGCTCCGTGGTTTTTCAGCAGGATTACAGAAGTGTTTGGTCACTGATTGAGTCCTTTCCCCCCAGTTACACATCACGCTGCAGTATTGTTTGCTTCAGAGTACAAGCTGCATGACTATTTTTAGACAAATGAGCTACATAGGCATAATGTTTATATGTGCATCAGTGTTAGCCTCTTTACCCAGCAGCAGCTTATGTCACTACGGCCTTGATGGCTCGGTTGCCATGTCGCCTTTGTCCCTCTCTTCCTTGTTTGAGCCAATCGGCGGGGTTTTCAGCCAGCAGAGGGTTGTGATTTGCAGATTAGTCTTGCTTCTCTGCAGGCAGTGTGTGATTCTTCTAAATGGCAATACACAGATGCATACTACACTTATGTAACACCACCCTGCCTGCAGCCTGCACACACACTCACGAGT